GACAGACGCCCGCCTGGCTGGAGCAGATGATCGCCCACACCACCTGGAGGGATCTCTTCTACAAGCTGGCGGAGGCTCATCCGGACTGCCTCATGCTCAACTTCACTGTCAAGGTACACCTGGTTCCTCTAGGGGGCAGTGGCGCTGTTCGGCGTGCAGGGCCAGGAGAATATGCTCTTGCACAGTGCTGATCTTATGGTCTGTTGAGCAGGCACAGTTTGCTCAGTGGTGCTTGGCTTGAGCTGTGCGTCTAAAGAGTAATCCTAAAGTCACAGGGCCACATCAGCAGGGCTTCTTCCAGAGAAACGGACTGCAGTTGCTGCTCTCACTGACGTGATTTTTATTATTACGTTTTACTTGAACTCCTGTTGTTCCTCTTCTCCGGAAAAGGAAAACTCTTGACTCTAGATGTCTTCTCCCTGGGTCAGGCACTGTAGTGCTGGGTGTTAAGGGAACTTGTTCCTTGTTTGTGGAACATTAACCAAATGAACAAACACTGAATGGATGCTCATTTACTTCCAAGTAAAATAACAAAACCACAAAACTGGAAAGAATACTATATATCTTTTCTTCTTATTTTAAGGGCCCTGCCAGATAGTTTAACTGTTTCTTCTTTCCTGCGTGACTGGGAGGTTTTGCTCTGTGAGAGACACGTTGAGGGTCAGGGTGGCGTGGAGGAAGTGCTGTCTGACTGTGGCCTCTCGAGAAGCAGCTCCCCTGACGCTGCCCCTTGCTCTGTCCTCCTGCCCAGCTGATCTCGGACGCGGGGTACCAGGGCGAGATCACCAGCGTGTCCACCGCCTGTCAGCAGCTGGAGGTGTTCTCTCGCGTCCTCCGCACATCGCTGGCCACCCTCCTGGATGGAGGAGAGGACAATCTTGAGAAGAACCTGCCCGAGTTCGCTGTGAGTCTCTGCCCTTTCTGCGTCTGGATTACGGGTTGGCGTAAGAAACTGCCATACAGGGAACTGATGCTGTGGCCCATTTTCCTGCACCATCTACTGTTATGCTTTATTAAGGAAGTCGGCAATAGGTTTGAGAATGTCATTCAGCAGTTTTTTTAATGTTGGACAAAATGGCTTACTGGAGTGTGAAACACTCCTGCAACTCTCCTTGTAAAAAACAAACAAACAAAGTGCCTCTTGTATTGCTGTTGTATTGTAGGTCCCAGTCATTACAATTCAATTCAGTTTGTTTTTATATAGCGCCTTTCACAACAAGGTTGCCCCAAGGCGCTTCACAACAAAGCAAGTGGCGTTTCGGAACAGAAAGGCTGTGGCTCTCACTGTGTTCTTGTGACTCACACCCCCTTTTCCTCTGTGCCCCGGGCCCCCGGTTGGCGCCGCGGCGCAGAAGATGGTTTGCCATGGGGAGCACACCTACCTCTTTGCCCAGGCCATGATGTCCATCCTGGCGCAGGAGGAGCAGGGCGGGTCCGCCGTTCGCCGGATTGCGCAGGAGGTCCAGAAAGCCGCGCACCAAAGGTAGGGGCACAGCGGCGGCAGCTCGGGGTTCCTGATGCACCTGCCCGGTCAGGGGGCAACACGGCTTCCTCGGCTGGTGCCAGTCTGCACTTGGAAACAGTACTTGATGGCACTGCTGCCTCATGCCTCATGTTGGTCATTTGTCGATCGTACTGGCATGTCAAACTGGGCAGCTGTCTGAAACGCTCTGATTAATCTGGGTTTGTTAAGATAAGATATGATCACTTTATTGGCCATATACAGTTTCTTGCATTAGGATTTTGTCTTTTTTGCATACCCCAGCTTGCTCTCCATGAGACACACAGACAGGGAGAGAAGCCTGGGGTCAGAGCGCAGGGTCAGCCATTTATACGACGCCCCTAGAGCAGTTGGGGTTAAGGGCCTTGCTCAGGGGCCCAACGGAGTAGGATTCCTCTGCCGGCTGTGGGATTTGAACCGGCAACCTCCCAGCCACAGGCGCAGATCCTGAGCCACAGGGTCACCACTCCGCCCCCATCTTAAAAAGATGAGCGCTGAGCCCATGCGGTTAATGAGAAAAGAAACTGGCGACGGAGTTCGGTGTTTATCGCCATTTGGTTCCCCCCCCCCCCGAGAAAGTGCTCGCGCCCATGCCCGTGCTTGTGTGCCGGCTGTTTCAGGGGCCATGATGCCAGTCAGATCACGCTGGCGCTGGGCACGGCGGCGGCGTACCCCCGGGCCTGCCAGGCCCTCGGTGCTATGCTGTCCAAGGGAGCCCTCAACCCGGCCGACATCACTGTGCTCTTCAAGATGTTTAGCAGCATGGACCCCCCGCCAGTGGAGCTGGTAAGAGACTTGAGACTCTGCCGCCTGTCTCTCCGCCTTTAGACCCCGCTCTTGAACAAGACCCTGTCTGGGAACATCAGGGCTGACCCCAACCAGAATCCTCAGCACTGAACTGAACCCCAATCCCATCGCTCAGGGGTGCTGGGGTTGCTCAGTGTGTCATCACACTGCATTGACTTGTAAATGTCTTGGGTACTGGGTATAGGTTTCTCTGTTTCTTTATAAATTTGTGTATCTCAGCTCTCTCATGGGTTAATCGAGTCCCATGTGTGCCTGTGCAATCTGCAGCGCGGGGGTCTTTGGATCTCGGGACAGTTGTTCTGGTTTGCCTGGGGGGGGTCTAAATGAGGCCGTTTCTGTTTCTCCGACCGCCAGATCCGAGTCCCCGCGTTCCTGGACCTGTTCATGCAGTCTCTGTTCAAACCCGGGGCCAAGATCAACCAGGACCACAAGCACAAGTACATCCAGATCCTGGCCTACGCGGCAAGCGTGGTGGAAACCTGGAAGAAGGTGACTTCGCCGGGGTCTCCCATTTCCCCCTCGACGGCTCTCGAGAACACAATATCTGCGGTGTTGTGTGTTGAAAGTCACGTCCCAGGGTCCAGCTCGGGCAGAGCTCTGTCACCCAGGCGTGGCTGGCTCAAACCCCGGTCACAGCACTAGCCAACTGTGACTGGGGCTCCCCGCGTGATGGCGCGCAGTCCGCTAAGCACCACAGGGTCAGGCGCGAGTTTGGTCGGCCTGGGCCCGGCAAATGGCCGCCCCCCGTCACAAGCCAGATGTGTGCAGGAGTCAGAGCCGACTCTCTGACCTCGGGCACAGAGGGGCGAGGTGGTCATGGCTCTGTGGCTGGCTGTGTCAGGACAGCATGGCACGACTGCAGCCTGAGATTCAAATCTTTAAAAAAATATATGATTCAATACAAAAAAAAATCATATGAACTATTTTGTTATTGGAGAATGTTTTCAAACCACAGGGCGTCATTAGTCCAGAGTAGTTGCTATGGGTCCATAACTCCTGAGAATGTAGGTATTCTCCTGCCTCTGTCCATCCACATATGTGTGTGTGGCTGTGTCTGAACTGCCCTACACGCTTTTAGTTTTTAAAATGCAAAGCTTCAGAGAGGTGTACTACCGTTCCTTCTCCTCTTGTGTGTCCCAGAATAAGCGAGTGAACATCAACAAGGACGAGCTGAAGTCCACCTCCAAGGCCATCGAGACTGTACACAACCTCTGCTGCAATGAGAACAAGGGAGCGACTGAGCTGGTGGCTGAGCTCAGCACGCTGTACCAGTGCATCCGGTGAGCAGGACAGGGGCACGGCCACGCTGACCGCTGTCTCTCTGTGCACCCCTCCTCTTTCCCATGAGCAGGACAGGGGCACGGCCACGCTGACTGCTGTCTCTCTGTCCTCCCCTCCTCTTTCCCATGAGCAGGACAGGGGCACGGGCACACTGACACTGTACTACATATTTCCTCTTTCTGTGCCAGATTCCCAGTGGTGGCAATGGGGGTGTTGAAGTGGGTGGACTGGACAGTTTCGGAACCCCGTTACTTCCAGCTGCAGACAGACCACACACCTGTCCACCTGGCACTGCTGGACGAGGTAACCGATCCGGAACAATGCAATTTTTCCTAATGTTTGCTAAGAAAGAAAAACGAGAAAAAGACTAAATGAAACCATGCTGTTAAAATAGAAGTTGGCAGAACCAAGTAAGGGGCAGAGAAAGCTAGTTTAAGCAGGTACTGAAGATGACAAGGGTTTTTTTTCTTTTTTTTTTTTTTATATGAGAAGGTCCAGATGTGCTGCTGTCAGTTGCTGTGACGCAGGGAGTGTGGAATGAGGGGAACCTGACTCTTCCCACACTGTGTGCCTTTTCTTTTGCAGATTAGCACCTGCCATCAGCTTCTGCACCCCCAGGTCCTGCAGCTGCTGGTCAAGCTGTTTGAGACCGAGCACTCCCAGCTGGACGTCATGGAGCAGGTGAGAGAGGTGCCCCTCCCCCACCCCCCACCGAGCTGAGACGCGGGTTTAATGACACCGCCTGGGAGCTGATGCTGTGTCCTCCTCCCTCCCCTGCCAGCTGGAGCTGAAGAAGACTCTGCTGGACCGCATGGTGCACCTGCTGAGCCGAGGCTACGTGCTGCCGGTTGTGGGCTACATCCGCAAGTGCCTGGAGAAGCTCAACACCGACATCTCCCTCATCCGCTACTTTGTCACTGAGGTAAGGAGTGCTGGGGGGCGGGCTGTCTCCTCTGAGGTCGCCTGGGGGATTGGGGTGGGGGTCATTTTATTTACTCGAATAGTAAAAGCCGGAGGAAGGCGTTTCGATCCCTGCATCTGTTCCGTGATTAGTGACCAAGATAATGGCCATCGAGGGTCTTGCCTTCTTCGGAACGCGCCTCCTGTCTCTTCTTCCACCAAGAGCCTGCTCTGTTGGGACAGTCAGAGCTCAGGTGAGAGGGGAACGGTGTGATGATGTGCAACACAAGAAGTGTGGGTGGAGTTTCATTCACTCCCAAGAGCACGAGCCTGCTGTGGAGGAGGTGGCCTCGGCTTTCGGCTCGCTTGTAACAGATCCGTGTAGGAGCAGGAGGAGTGAGCCGAGGAGCAGAGGGAAGCATGCTCCCCCGCCTCTGCTCCTCGGCCACTTTCCCGTGCCTCCCCCTTGTCCCCTGGACACTTGGTCAAGAGCTCTTCTCGACTGTCGGGCAGGTCCTGGACGTGATCACTCCCCCCTACACCTCGGATTTCGTGCAGCTCTTCCTGCCGATCCTGGAGAACGACAGCATCGCGGGGACCATCCGGGCGGAGGGGGAGCATGACCCCGTGGCTGAGTTCATCGGTGAGCTCCTGTCCCAACACGCAGCGCGCGTGCAACTGTTCCCACTGCCAGGAACCCTCCATTGCTCTGCAGTTGTGTTAATTACATGCATGTTTTATGTGTTTAACACACAAATTCACTCAGCTGCTGTTCAGATGCAAAAATCACTTTCCTGTGGGGAAAGGTTTGGAAGCACATGGAGACATAAATTCAGCTGAACAGCAACAAAAAATTAAGGAACAAGTAATAGGTTTATTCCCTGCTGAAGAGAGAAGAAAACACTTTTCGGCTGTGGAGCCTTCTTCGGGTGTGAAGAAGGCTCCACAGCCAAAAACCTGTTTTCTTTCTTCTCTTTTCAGCAGGGAATAAATCTATTGTTCCTTTGCAGCCTATGCATGCTGATGCAGCTACCCACCTGAACTAACAACAACAACAACAACAACAACAAAAAATGCATCACTAATTTGTTTCCTTTGCTTGTTTTTCAGCGCACTGCAAATCCAACTTCATCATGGTGAACTAAAGTCCTGGGATCTGTTTTGTGAGCGATGAGGGAACCAGGGCAGTCCAGAAGGTACCGTTTCGGATATCTGAGCCAGCCAGTTGTGGACACTGCCCAAGGGGGGAGCGCACCTGTGAGAGTTGGCCAGCAGTGAGGAACTCCCTCTGAGTGGCAGTATGGACATAGTCAGGGAGAGCCCTCCAGAGCCTTGCCCTATTGAAGCAAACAGCCTTAATGTAAGCGCAAAATCTACTGCTGCAGCACAACACTAAGCACAAAATGTAGCAGGAGGAGAGAGAGAGAGTTTCTTTTTTATCTTGTGCAGCACGCAGGGTTTTGTCAGATATTCATGCAGAAGACTGATCTCTATATATATATGCCATCCGTGAAGAAACAGTGTGAAGATTATGATCATTTTAATATGGCAGGGCTCTGTACAAGCAAGGCCACCCCTTTTGAGAGAGAGCGCAATGGGTATTCATAGCTCGGTCAGTTGGTTGTAATCAGCTGTGCAGCTCTTTTGGCTCACACTTTCAACTTTGATTATTTTTTTATAAAAATAACTACTAAAAATATAATGTTCATTACCGATTCATGGAAGAAATGTGGTCCAGGTGTGTAAAAAAATAAAAATAAAAATGCTTTTCTGTTCAGCTTACTGGAGGAGTCATTTGTCTTTTGGGGTTTCTTTCATGTCAGAAGGAGGTTAAGGGTACTGATCCCACACTCCTTCAGATGATACCTCCATCTCTTCCCCTGTCTTGTGTGGATTCCCACTTGCAAAGAGCACAACTGTACACTCATCAAATCATGACTTCAGACACAGCTGTGACTTTCACTCATGTTTTATTGCAGTCAAAATAACACCAGTGATTTTCTTCCCATAGTTTTCCTTATGCAGTTGTAAAACAAGGCACATGATCTAGATCGAACAGTTGCCTAACCTCTGCTGCATCCCAGAGGTCAGCTATGACATTTGTTCTGAAGGACTCCTCTCCACAGCCAGGGCAGGTTCAAGGCAAATGAGATTGAATTCTATGCTTCTAAAATGTAAGGCTTAGGTTTAATTGCATCCACATTTAAAAACAAATGTTTTTCCTCTGCTGTTGAATGTCAGTATCACCAAATAGTCCTAAATAGTCATACCCATGCAGAGAGCTTGTTCCCAGAAACAAAAGAAAGTGCAATAGTACATTTCCCCTTACACAACAAAATCAGTGCCATTCAAAGTTAAGACATTTGTTCTTCTAAAAAAATAGAAAAGGCATTGGTTCTGTAAACACGATAAAATATTCCTTTTGATAACTGCATAGCAAAACTTAAAATCAAATTAAAACAAGAGTAAAACCAGGCTTAACTCTTCTTCTTAAACTGATTCTTTGTACTGTGGCTTTATGATTACTGCAATGCTTGTCAGTTTAATGTCAGAAAATGCCCTCTTCAGAAAAATGCATCCATGATTGATCTTTGGCAGAGCGTATGCTAGGAAGTGTGTCAGAATCTTAAAAAAAAAGTGTATAGTGGCTTTAAAAGCAATCATTTTGCAGCGTGTTCATTTGCACTTTAGTGTGGTTTTAAACACCCAAGTCAGGACGAATGCTGCTGTGTGACCTGCGAGTCTGGAAGACACTGCCCTTCCTCTCCTCCCACCGGAGACTGTTCAGGTAGTGTTATGGCCACTATAAAGGATGCGTGTTCTGGAAAGGAAGCATTTCCCAACATACCTGCAAAGAGCACCTGGCCCTCTATCTGTAGTGCTTGGGCAGCATAGGGTCGCCGTAGTAGCAGTCCTCCTCCACCGCCAGGTTGTACTGGCTGCCCGAGCCTCCCTTGTAGGCGCTGGTGACGATCCTCAGCCAGCCCATCTCGCCCTGTTGGCACAAACACACCCGGCTCAACTTGCCAGCCCCACTCTCCCCTTTTCTCTGGCGCCCTCGCCGCTGACCACAGCATCTGTGTTCACTAGCAGCGCGAGTGGGGGCGCTGCGTCAGCACGTGCAGGCTGCAAGGGCACAAGTCACAGGTTTATGCGCTGTGGGAAAGAGAAGAAAGGAAACGCACCGTTTCGGCTGCGGAGACTTCTTTGGGTTTTTCCTTCTCTGTTCGGCCTGGAATAAAACTTTTACTTGTTCATGTCCGTTAACTGTCAGGTGTTGCTTACCAGTGCCTTTCCCCACCGCCGATCTCCCCGGGCGAGGAGTCCCAAGTGTTTTTATGTTGGTGCAGGTCTTTTCAAAGGCATGGATTTTTTTTAATTCCCAAATTCCTTGCGAAACCCTGAGCGTAACCCTTGAGCTACATCAGTTTTTGGGATGCGACGTTTAGGACGCTGTAGCTAATTTACATGTCGGCGTTCGCTTCTTTACAACGCGGTGGTGAAAACGTAGACCCTGAGGAACCTGCTTTTAAGACCACGGCTCGCACTCTTGTGTAAGAGACACGGCGTGCTCTGTACGTGAAGAAACCGGCGTTGGAGAAATGCATCAGGTATCGCAAACATCAACCCCCTTTTCTCCTGCATGTCTTGCCTTTGGGACTGGAAGGCAGCGTGTAGGCTAGGCCATGATCTGGCAGGATCCAGAATCCGTGCTGCGTGCCGCGGTGCGACTCACCCAGGGCTCTCCCCAGGAGTTCCGAACGATCCAGAACTCCGCCCCGTTCTCGTCCAGCCCCCAGCCGGCCACCGACACGATGTGGTTGATGTAGGGCTGAGGGTTGTACTCGGAGTACAGCCCCCCCGTGTAGGCGTCCAACTTCGCCGTGGCCATGATCCCGCAGCTGGGGGGACAGAGGCACCGAGTCAACACCAGCTCAGGAGGGCCGCTGCTCCGCATGCCTCACAGTACAGTGGGATCGCCAGGCCTGGCTCTGGAGGGCCAGTGCGTCTGCAGGTCCCTCTGAGGGTGGAGCTGTTAAACTAACTATGAGCCCAGCAGGACTGAAAACGGATACATAAGACCCTCCGGGACTAGCGCTGGGGATCCCCTCCTCAAGGGATCCACTCCCGTACTGGACCTTCCCAGTTCTTCTGGTGCTGGTGCTTTTGAAAGCGACCCAAGGGCCTGGCTGGACTTCAGCCCTGCAGGTCCGAGATGGGTCAACGCACCCAGCAGCTTTGAGCAGCCCGCTAGCTGGGCTAGACCGAAAGCAGGAAGTACAGTGTTCTTTCACAGGGACTGACTGCCACCTCAGATCCAGAACTGGGCAACTTTAGTCCTTGGAGGCTGAATGGGTGCTTATCCCCCTTAGCCACCAGTCAGGACTCCAAAAATAGAGTGGCTTGTATAAATTAGTTCACTTTAGTAATTAGGATTAGATGTGGCTTGAAAAGCAGAAGCCACCATGGGTATTTGAGACGGCCCTTCCCTGTGGCAGCCCATCCAGGATTGAAAAGAAAAAAAGCAGCTAATTGAAGACGCCGAAGTGGTTACATATGGAAAGTGATCCGGCTGCATCCTGCCTCTCCCCGTACCTGATAGGCCCCCGGGCGTAGATCTCGGCCATCATCTTCTCTCGGCCGCTGACGGGCCCGTAGTCGCCCACCTTCCACACCGTGTAGTTCTTGATGACGTTGCACACGCCGAAGGTGGTGCAGGTCCCGCACTGGTTAAACGGCTTGCAGTCTGCAACACAGAGGCCGCGGGCAGCGCCAGGTGAGCCCACGCGCGATACTGGGGAATTCCCACCCTTCTGCGCGTCGCGACAAGCCCATGGAAACTCTTGCGCAAAGGTTTACATGGAAGCAAGCAAATGGGTTCAAGTTTCTGCCTCGCAGCGCAGTGTTTAATTCTGAACCCGATGGGGCGTACAGGTAGGTGTGCAGTTTGTGTGCGTCCCCACTGTGTTTGTGTGCCTTTTCCCCAGGGGCTGATGTGTATTAGCACATGAAGGCAGGGTCATACAGGGCCCTGGATCGGCTTTGGTCCACCATCCATTTTCTTACCACTCTTCCGACTCAGGGTCGGGGGCAGCCGGAGACTGTCCTGGCCAGCAACGAGGACAAGGCGCCAGTCCAGCACTGGACAGACACACAGACACACAGACACACAGACACACAGACACACAGACACACAGACACACAGACACACAGACACACAGACACACACCAGGGGCCAGTTTTCCCAGAAGCCAACCGCCATTCCAGCTGGCCTTTGGACTGTGGGAGGAAACCGGAGCACCTGGAGAGAAGCCACACAAACACACACAAACTCCATACCCAGTGTGTCAGGTTCAGAACTAAACTCAGGCCCCTACCACTGCGAGGCAGCCATGTTGACCACTGTGCCACTGCGCCGCCCCTGCGGGACACTGATCTCGGCGTGACAGTACCCCTCGCTCACCCTGGTCTTTGGCCTGGTAGTTGTTGCAGGTCTCGTCGGGGATCCCGTGGGTGTGTGCGTACTGCCACACCCCCGAGTGATCGCCGCCCTCGCAGGACCCCGCGTCGCCACAGTCGATCACGTTCTGCACGGAGAGGTAAGCCGACGGCCAGGCGCCCTTCCTCTTGATGTTGATGCGATCTGGCGGGGACACGAATCAGCCCCCCCTGTCAGCGATCACACAGCAGGGCACCATCTCCAGCCCCAGTCCTGCTCCCATGTCATGTGTTAAAGACTGAGATTTGTCACTCAATTAAATGAATGTGTGCACTTGTCTTTGAGGGTCATTATCAAGTCATATAAGGCTGTAGGAGCCCTGACTGTAGGATACTTCACACACTGAGCCCACCGGCACATCGGCCTCCTGATTTCTCTCGCAAAGCTCTACCCGTGCGAGGTCTCTGCTCTGCTCCGATTATTTTCCGAACGCACTGGAGCGTGGCCGCGGGGGGCACCGGTACCTGCCAGGGCGCTGGTGCTGCCGTGGGCCCAGCACGAGCCGCAGTACTGGGGGATGTGCTGGTTGCGGGTGGTGCTGACGTAGTTGGTGCCATTGACGTTGCGCCAGTCCCAGGCCTTGGGCAGGTCGGACAAGCTCAGGTACTGGTGGGGCCGGGGGCCGGACCTGAACGGGCACAGATCGAACCCACAGAGTCAACGCGTTGCACCCCTGCACTGGCGCTGCCGGCCAGGCTGGTTGGCACAAGAAACAAAAGGAACGAAGTGATCATTAGTAAATCCTGCATCAAAGAAAATACCACACCGCAAACAAACCAGAAACCATGCTTTCTGAGGGCCCAGGAACCAATATAGCCCACATGATACACAAGTTGACAAATGTATGAAGGTAGATAGGAATTCCATCCCCTTTTTCCCCCCCCGATATAAGATGGAATGCGACACATTAAGACCAGCTGTGTCTTAAGATCTCGCACCCTTAGCGTGAGACTGTGGGGGTGCAGACAGTCTCCACCCTCCCGCCCGCTCACCCATCGAGCCAGCCAGCAGCTGACGAATGCCAATCTCCGCAGCCACGGACAAGAGGGTCAGTTCTGGCTGGAAGAGCAGGGTGGACCTCACCAGCAAGCCAGCTGAGAGAGCTCCGATTGGCCCCATCTCACCCGTCCCTTAGCCTTGTCCAATCACATGCCTCAGCCAGGGGGGAATCCCGGTCACGTTCGGCTAGCAGCATGCCTCGGGCTCAACCCTTCTGCTTTATTCAATGTTCTCTTCACCTTCCTCCACGGATTTGTCTAAATGCAAATCTGACATGGCCCTGCCAGTCCCAACAGACGCCGTTCACACAGAAACAAAAAGAGAAGAGAAAGTGAAAAACAGCACTTCCTCACCAGACAAGCTGGAGGCCTTCAAACGGCTTCTTCTGGAGTCGGTTTTCAAGGGCTCTGCAGCCCCACACCTGCCAGGCACAACACCCTGCTGCTCAAGAGCGCACACAGCGCTGCTGCTGTAGAACACTGAACAACGCAGACTCCGACTCCGATAACACCCACAAAAACAAAAAAACTAATTTCATAAGACGTCCTTGTATTTATAGATCACTTTTCTTCCCAAAGTGTTTCTCACGGTGTTCTATCACTGCCATGCAGCAGCCCCTAAATAACATGCCTTTGGATAAACCCACACTGTACGAGCAGCGATATGCTTATTCATTAACTGATCGCTCATGGTTTTGCTGAAATACCAGGCAGAAACTGTGCTTTCCCGTGTGCTCCGAGGATCACCACCTGATCCCGATTATGGACTGAAACTTGTCTTTCGGGATCCTTCAGTTAGCGCTGCTCGTGCGTGTGTGATAACACTGCATTGCCTTGTCCTCTGCACCTGGTTCCAAGGCGAGTCTGCAGTTCTGGGCTACACTGACCTTTCAGGTTGCAGAATCCTGGCTGAGCTGTTTTTTTAAAAGTCATATTCTGCCTTTGTCCTCCTAGCGCCCAGTCCTGGTCAATGATCAACCTGGACCTGGACTGACGACAAAGAAAGCGAGCACTGCCAAACAGCCAGCGAGGGAGAGAGAAAGACACGCGCAGAGAGGAACAGAAACTCATGACCAGGTGGCATCATTCTTAGCGATGTGGTCGCTTAGAAGTGGGAAGCAAAACCAGAGAAGAACACACGCCACAAGGAGAAACCCAAACTTAAAAGCAGCAGGTTCTCCTGCAATACATAGGCATGCTATGGACAAGACTGTCTGTACACAGGACTGGAGTTACTGGCAGGGCAGGGCAGTGCTGGATAAAATAATCATTCCTTATATAGCGCTTTTCTGGACACTCCACTCAAATCCCACGACCACCACCAGTGTGCAGCCCCACTTGCATGAAGCAACGGCAGCCACACTGTGCCAGTCCGCTCCCCACACACCAGCTCTCAGTGGGGAGGAGAGCAGAGGGATGAAGCCAGTTCATAGATCATTAGGAGACCATGACTGGTAGAGGCAAGGGGTAAATTCGGCCCGGACACAGGGGATCACACCCATACTCCTTTCTAGAAACGTCCCGAGATTTTTACATCCCATATGAAGGACGGCACCTTTTTCACAGTATAGTGTTCCCAACACTATCCTGGGGCACTAGGACCCACGCAGACCGCAGGGTGAGCGCCCCCTACTGGTCCCACTAACAGTCATTCCCGCCCTCTGTTTGAACAAGGGCGAGCAGGTGAACGTGCTTGTCTGTGCGCAAGTACGCAGTCTCTCTCCGGAGGGGGGAACACGGAGAGACCTTCTGTTTTTATAACGGCAGCCTCAGTGGCTTCCCAGCTGCACCAGGAGCGATCGCCAGGCGGAGAACTGCCTCCGGACCCGACCGCCTCTCGGCCCGGCGGCGCCACACCGCTCCCGTCTCTCCGAGCCCCAGCGGCTCCTGCCTTTCTCCAGGTCTGACGGAGGCCAGGAGGCCTCGCGGTCCCCTGGTAACTGTCCAGCTCCGCTGACCCCGGCCGCTCCGGCCCAGGTCTTGGGGAACGTGTGGCTTCTGCCATCCGAGCCCACTCCTTCTCGGGGCAAGACGCCAACTCGAACCTCAGACACACGCACGGTTAATTCGGGGGGTGAATCATTTACCAGCAGGTCCGAGTGTCTCCACGCCTGCAGGTTCCAAAGACTAAAAATAAAGTCATAAGACCCGTGGAAGTCATGAGAAACATGTGATGCACGACTCCGTGACAAGAACCGGAAGTCCAAACCCTCAGTCTCCTACACCCCCACTATCTTGAAGTTTAAAATATTATAATGAGGAGGTGAACAAGCCTCGACTAAAACAAAAAGTCACACGATCTCTATCTCTATTCGAAGCCACCTCCTTGGCAAGACTAGATGAATATTGCCGAAGTGTCAAAGCAGGTTCAAACACTATTAAAGAATAGTTCGTTGAATAAATCACATGATATAAAAAAAATGCTGACGTTTCATACAATCAACACAAAAATGACAAAAGGTGCCGAAGTAAAGACCAGAGCTATCATTGGCTGATCAAGTCTGATGTCGAGGAATTCCCCCAACAAGTGGAAAAAAAACTACACACTTCACACGCATTGCAAGTTAAAAAGGGGGAATTTACAAAACCTTTGGGGCAGCTACCGTCTCCTAAAACTAACACTCTGGTGCTTTACTCGTATAAACAACGAGAAAAGTTGAAACGAAAGTGTTTCAAAGCACAAAAGCAATGGAGGGATTTTTTCCGACAAAAAGAATAAACCGTGATTGCTCTTTCTAGCTCGGTGGAAAACTCAAGCGCCCGAGTGAGCGAACATACTCCCGTTTGTTTCCCCATTTTAAATCGCAGGGAAAACGGTACTTTCAAACCAACAGAAAGATCACGAACTGCAAACCTCGGGTGACGAAATCTTTCCAAAAAAAAAAAAACGAACCGGCCAGCGACGGGTGTCGGCGATAGCGGGGGATTTAACTGTAAATGGAGATGTTACGATCAAAAGGAAGGAGAAAAACTGTTCCTGCGGTAATCGATTGATATATTTATTCGGGGGGAAAAAACTAAAATGATCAAAAGCAGCAGAATAATGACGCACAGGGAAGGCGTGCAGGGATTCGACCCGTTAATTGTTAATAATAATAATAACTCCAGCTCTTTGTTTTGCTACATTAGTAGCAGGGGCGCACGCCGGCCTGCGACAAAGGCAGAGGAAAGGCTGAGAGAGAAAGCGGACACTCACTGGACTCCGGGGAGGTCTCCCCTGGACATGGGCCGGTAGCACGGCTGCTTCTCGTTGAAGTGGAGCCCGGCGAGCACGGCGGGGCACAGGCACAGGGCGAGGAACAGCTGGCCGGCCATGGCGAGGCGAAGCTCCGTCGGATAACTGCTCGTCAGACCCGGCAGCGGTTTATATACCCCGGCGACGCGGAAGAGCGAGTCCCGTGGGGTAACACAGCGCGGCCGCGCAGCTGGGGGCTGGAGGGGGTGGTGCTGTCTGTATTTACAATTACGGCACAAAAGCACAAAAAAAAAAAACAACCACCAACGAGCAGGCTGCGATGAACAGAGTCACAAGACTTGCACGGCAACGAGGAAGTGAGGGTTTCGGAAAACCAGAAAGAGAGAATGAAGGGGTTGTGCAACAGGGCGATACCGGTCACGCAACACGATAAACGCGATAAAGTCCAGCGTCTGTAAAAATTCAACACCACCCCCCGTCTAAAAACATACTGGGAAGGTTAACTGGCTTCTGGGGAAATTGGCCCTGGTTGTGTCTGTGTGTGCCCTAAGATAGACTGGCGTCCCGTCCAAGGTGTAGCCTGCTTTGCACCCGCTGCTTGCCGGGATAGACTCCGGCTCGCCCGCGCCTTGATGGGGAAGAACGGGGCGAGAAAATGGATGAACGTCTGTAGCTCCGCCATGGGACAGAGAATCACCCGGAGCCTTTGCCCTAAACTCCAATTAGTGACCAGGACCGCCGGAGTCACTTACGGAAACACATCAGTGTGACTACATTCAGGGCCGCCAAACAGGAGAGACGTCTTTACCAGGGCGGTTTTTGCAGCGGTATTGCAAAAGCCGCCGAGTCATTGTGTAAAAGCTGAGTCACTGGGGGCCTCAACACCACTCCTACCGAGATATTGGGGTTCGACCGACAACTGCAAGATTACAGTTACAACCTTTTGGTGCAGTTTTAAAAGGTGTATCAAAGGTCCAAGAGTACTGGGAGATGCCTGGTCAGGTAATATGACAATACCGAACCCCAACATTGATTTCTAATACTGGCTTAGCTTTTTTCTAAGCCCTCAAAACAGAAACATGCCCCTACAGCAAATCTCTTCCCCAAAAGTCCAAGCCAGTGTGAGAAAAAGAAGGGTTTGAATAATTACACACATGCAGTTGAAAGCAAGGGGTAAAGACTGAATGCAAGTTATTTTTTGTTGAAATTCCTTTTACCATGGAAGTTTGTTTTTTTACTTAAAAATTGCTTCTAAACAACATGGGTGATTAATTATTGACACGGGTATTATTGATGGGGAAATAAAAGGTATATTCACATTATTTTTGCTGACAATTCCCCTCAATAAAGGTTTCTGCTGCTAAAACATCAATGCTTTTGCGTCGTTTCTGTTTAATGTTTTTCAGACACAATTTTCAAAAACAAGATCAATTTTAAATTTCGAATCTGTCCCCTTCGTTTTTAAGGGCTTTCTTTCTCATCACAGACTGAGGGATATGAACAATTCTCAGCCGAGAACACAGCAATGTAAATACAATTTTAAAAACAAAGTTACATGTAGACGAAATATTTAAACTTGTACCGAGAAAGCAGAATAAAGCCCCCTTTTGTGCACAGACATAAAATACCGGGCTGCACTTTAAGGGTAGATGAAGTGGGTTTCCTCCTACATGTAAAATGGGATCTTTTGGGATTAAAAGATCCCAAAAGATCTAAATGCAAATTTCATTTGTTTGCCTTACATTGCGAGTACAAAAAAAAACCATAACAGACCATATGATTTCCAAATTTTACAAATTTTATTACCAAAGTCCTACTTTGCAGTGATCACAGAGTATGTCATATGCAACATGAACCTTTCTTCTGTATCTTGTGCATCAGAAACAAAAAAAAGAGGATACAGCTCTATTTTTCCATTTACTTTTCTTTAATGATTGGATTTGGCATCAGTGTTTCAAAGAGATGCTCTTTGGGTAAGTGAAGCATGACAGTACGTCTGGTCTGAACAAATTTAATACAAAAGAAGCATTTTGCAACAGATGTTACGTTGACCGACAGGGTCCTTTTCCTAAGCCCTCAGCACTAGTGGGAAATTGCTGCTCATTGCAGGAAAGGAAGCAGTCTGTGGTTCTTACTAAGTCACTACAGACTTCCACCAGCACAGATCCTTAGACCACAGGAAATACAAAACAAAGCCAAACCACTTATCAATTTGTTTGCGATTCGATGTTTTAAAATTGGACTTACTTATAGCAAGATGTTTTGCAAATCCCTAGTCCTGGAAATTTAAAACCGTCATGGTTTTCAATGAAGATGTAATTCTCAAATTCTCAACTGAACCACTTATTTCATTGGCTTAATTGCTCAGGTTTGAAGTGACCTTTAGTCAGCAACCTGAAGACACCTACAAAGAGCTGAAGAAATGGATTTCTCCAGGACAAAAGTTGGAGACCTGCTATATTTTGGCTATACTGCACATTTACTGGTGGTTATTGAATATCTTTTTAAAGCAGTGCAGCAGCTTGCAAGAGACTGGCCCAATATACATTTACAGTGTGTCCTAGACACAAGGGATAATCACATTCCTCCCTTTGTGGACCACACCCAGTGAAACTTCACATTCGACAAATAAACAAATATTGCCCACAGGACATCATGGATGGGCAACCCCGGGTCTTCAAGGTTCTGCAACTGGTTAAGACCTAAAACCCACAGGAGTCTCTGCTTCTCCTGAGTCCCAAGATCTCAAGGACTGAAGCTGCCCATCCCTGGCTTGGAAAACGAAAGAAGAATCAAAAGCGACAGGATTATTTAGGTGTCTGTAGATTTCAGTCTGGATGTGCGAAGGTTCTGCGAAGAGACCGATCAGTGCAAGTTAGTAGGGTGGGGCTCCCGCAGTGTGCTCGGGGGGGGGGAGCGGGGCTCTGCCTGCTGCTGCTGGGGTGCGGTTAAACCAGCCTCCTCCTCTTGCAGTCGCGCTCCATCTGCTCAGGCCGGCCCCTGTCCTGGCCGCCCAGGGGGGACACCAGGTTGAGCAGGGGGTCTTCGGAGGCCTGCCCAAACAGGGCCAGAAGCAGGGCGACGCCGAACCCGGTGGCACGCTCTCCCTGCGGGCCACAGAGAAACCGGGCGTCAGAGACTTCCGACACTCTGCCCTGCTGCGACACAGACTTACGGCAACGGACAGAGCGCAGCAGACATGGACTACGGATTTCGCACGAGGCCCAGCAGGCACGGTGCCTAGGGCCTCCGAAGGAGGGAAACACTAGTGACTCACGAAACACGAGCTGAAACAGCATGCTTGCGATCGACTCTAGGTGTTTCAGATCAATAATCACGCGCTATCTAGGTGATTCAAGTCAATCTAGATGCACTACAGCACTCAAGTTTTATTCATTAAAGTTAACTAATGTAACTGATCAATACCCTTGAAGTGTTGAGGATGCCCTATAAAAACGATACATCGCCAGCTTTTTGCTTCTGAATCAACGCTGTTTTAAATAACACTGGCATGTGTGACGCTGTTGTGAAACCTGCTGATCCTGCTGCAGTGGAGTCTGAGCTGAGCCCCAGCAAACAGCTCCAACAGCTGGAGTTTAAAACTTGCTGAGTGCGCCACCTTGAGGACAGGAGTCAACAGAGCATCATTCGTGAATACAAACCGGATTATCCCAGGATGACATCTAGCTTTTACAAGCGACACAGTACTTGTCTTTTTTTCCCCCTGCCTGGACTCTTAATTGCTGAACTGAATCCATCACCAGACTGGTCCAAATTCAGATTCATTCCAGTATCTCAGCCCTGCTGAGGATCGAACAACAGCGAGTCGCCCAGTACACCCGTGACAAAGCAGTGCACTTGTATTCACACTCACACTCACCGCATGCACTGGGGACGCAATGTCCACATGGACCCAGACCCCGGGCCAGTCGAAGCCCAGGTGCGAGCCGATAAACAGGCCTGCGCAGGAGCTCTGCGCGTTCTCGCGGTCCTGAGGAAAAACCAGCACAGAAAAACCCCAGTCACTTAGAGGTCAAAGCCCTTTCAAGGAAGGATGAACTCACAACGGATCCACAAAGCCCCCGTTTGCTGCAAGGAGCTGCGGTGAAAAAGCCAGCTAACAAACCTAGCAGTTAGAAGATTTGCAACAGTTCAACTTTATGCAAGTAAAACTAATATGCATGCAAGAAACTCACATTTTAATGAATGAATATAAAATTGAATGTTGTGCATTGCCAAAGAGAAGCCAGGCTTTTAAAGTGGGAAAACCCAGGGATGCTCAGGAGGACTTGGGTTATTCTGGCACATACTGGAATATTAACACCCCGTTTTTTATTCTGGGGCGTGGGACCCCCGCCCCGCGCTCTCACCGCGACGGAGTTCTTCATGTCGGCCACGGCGGAGGTGAACTCGCTGAAGTGCAGCTCGGGGCAGTAGACCAGCGGATGGGCCAGGTCCCCACTGCTGCGGCCGGCCCGCACGCACGCCGCCTCCCACTCCTCGCTGTTCGTCATCACCGCCGCGTGGTACTTGCCCGTGGAGATCCCCTGGGCCGGCACAGCGCACAGGCAGGTCAGCACAGAGCGGCACGCACCCCTCATTCGGCGCCCCGGCCCCAGGTGCCCCCTCCGCCGTTAGACGGACAGCACGGGGACATGGGCCATAACTCGCAGCCCCGAGCAGACGGTGTTCAATGCCAAGTAAGAAAACAGCGATGGCCAACCCTGGTCCAGGAGGAGCCCTGTGTCTCCTGGCCTGTGCTCCGAATCACATTCATTCATTCATTCATTCAGGTTGTTCTCTACTCGGGTCCCGTCTGTACGTTCGCTCTCAGCCCCGAAAAAAAGGTCAAATGACATTTGCAATGGATTGCAACTCTGCACCAATTTCCCAGATTCAAAACTACTCTCATTCAAGGTGTGTTGCCTGAAATGCCCATCCAACGGGACCACTACAGAAGGGAAAAACAAAGGTGGAGAAATGTTTTTCTTTCTAATGCACATGCAATGATCACTTCTAAACACCCATTCAAGGCAACAGCAGAAACTAGTGACTGCACTCAGACTATAAAAACCCCATGAAAAAATGCTTGACAGTTAACAGGATGATGCGCTGCGTGGTGTGTTTTCTTGGGTCTTTTTTTGCCACAAAGCCGGTTTCGAACCTTCATCAGAGCCTACACTGGCGTTACCAGGGAGACAGGGGAACCGGAAGCGGGAGGGGCCCCACCTGCGCCCCCGTGAGCGTGGCCATGTCCAGGATGATGTCCGCCGCCAGGTCCCTGCTGGCGTAGGCAACGCCGTCCGACAGCACCAGCCGGCCCTCCGCGTCCGTGTTGTTGATCTCCACCGTCCTGGGGGGCACAAGCCGACAGCGGACGGTCACCGCACACGCCGGCCACCGGGTGTCGCTGCTCGCTCGGCCGATCACAGCCGCCCGCCAGCTCGGCCATTTATCGCGGCGCTGCCGACGGCCCCCGCCTGCCTGGCGTCACGAGACCTGCGACTCTGCCCTGGCATCACCGGCTTCAGCTTCGGCGTACGAGTGGGCTCGCACAGGCTGATCGGCCTTCTCTCGCCTGCCGATGTCCTCGCGAGATGCCTCACCGCAGGTTAAAAGTCACGCACAGACAGCCAGCCAGCCAGGAGCCCAACAACCCCCTTCTCCCACCTGTTATCCCTTGCAAAACTAGTGGAGCGCAGTGGGCCGATAGCACAGCCTGGCTCCAAACTGGCATCTCCCAGGGCTACAGGACTAGCGCTGTCCTCTTATCACAGGAACGCGACAGACAACAGCAAGAAAACTCACTAAGCCCTCGCTGCCCTGCAATTTGAGTCATATCCGTATTTATGAGCATCGGGATCTTTTTCTTCTGTTCTGTGTGTTTCCAACACTTCGCCAGACAGAGGAGACGCACAGACAGAGGAGCAGAGTCTAAACATCTTGACATGCGTGTGTTTTTATGGCTCTGCAGCAGGGCAATGTGCACAACAGCCTGCAGCTGGTAAGAGCGCTGGCACGGCTGCGGAGCAGAGCGAGGGGGTAGGAAGAGTGCCCTTACTTTCCGGAGTAGAGGGTGTGGATGTCATCGGGTCGCGTGGCGTTCGGGCCCACCGAGTTCTCCGCCAGGCAGAACACTGCGTGCAGGTTGTCCTTGAAGCCCTGTGGGGGGGCGGACAGACATCAGCCGTCAAGCCAAAGGGGCGAGCCATCAAACTGATCCGTTTGTCAAGTCGATCAAGGCCAAGTAGGTAACCCGAACTTGAAATCCCAGAGGAACACAAACACACCCAACACCACGTGAATGGCAAGAGCACCATCAGGGGAACAGACTGACGTTACTGGTGAGGGTTCTGTCAGTTAAGTGGGACCAAGGTTGGAGGCCAATAGAACTGAAGTGTCCGTCTTTTGTTAAGGAATGTGTGCAGTGCCCCCCCCAGCCAAAAAAGCCCTGTGACATAAACCTAAATAAATTACATAAATGCATGACAAACAGTAGGACCCACCTGTTTCACAGCTGCTCTGAAGGCTCCCAGAACAGCAGCAGCACCCCCACAGTCCCTCTTCATCCCCGGCATGGTGGTCTGGAAGGCAAAGAACAGGATCAGCCAG